AACTACTAAATAATCAGCTCTGATCATCGTAAAAGCCAGTTGTGTCTGTCCAGTCAACAGGATATGTCAGTGATTTTGTCTTTGTCCTTCACTCTGCAACACATACGTAGAGATGGAAGAGATCAGAGTTTTGCATTGACTCCTTCTCACAAGAAGAAGTGACCCAGAGTGATTTTGCTTTGCTGTATTTCATCCTTCTTCAGAAAAGTGTCCTCTGTCAAATCCCTGATCAAAACTTATTTTCATATTGTGACTTTCTCCTAACGGGCTTTATTTTGTTGCATTCGTCTCATTATATCTCTTAAAATTATAGAGCCTAATATTATTATTACTGTCGCCAAGCAGGTTATGTTTTGGTGTAATTTATTTGTTTGTCTGTCAGCAGAGAATACGGAGTCAATACATTAGATGAATAATTCTTTATGGAGCATGGCTACAGAGAGAAAGCACAGTTTCTCTCCCGAAAATGGAGTCTTCTTCTCTTTAAATACACTCCAGTACAAAACAAGTTGAGACAAATGGTTGACAAGAGAACAAATGGCAGAGCACATCTAGAGTATTAGCATACACTCAAATGCCTGAGCTGACAAAAGAATGTAAAAGGATGTGGCATCAGAGATGTCTCTCTACTCCTTGATTGGTTTATGTTAAAACTCTCACATGCCAGCAGATGTTTATTGTAAGACAGAAAACCCTTTGATTAGTACTCACTGTTTAGCCAAAACCCCTGTGACCAAGGCTAATTTCTCAAAGTTAATAATAGTGAATCCTAAGAATCTGTAACCTATAATTTATTTCTCACAAGACCACCCTCCTGTATCATGTCTACCGTTCTGTACCTTTTGTTGGTTTTGTGGTTATTGTTTGTTTGTTTCCTTTTTTATATGTCTAACGTCTATAAATATAAACCCTTAAATAAATTTATACACAGAATTTTCATCAGTGAGAGTTAATCACAGTCGTTATTATTTTAAAAAAGTGATACTGAAAACATTCACAGTGGTGGTGGTAAATAGAGGAAGTAGTTTTTGTATGACTCTCACATTATTGTCTCTCACTGTGGATCTCTGGCACAGTAATACACAGCAGTGTCTTCAGGCTGCACATTCTGTCCGTTTAGAGTCACTCTGTTGCTGGAAGAGTCTAAGTCGATACTGAACTTGTTCTTTAGTGAATCTTTGTAGTATGTGCTGAATCCAACAGCTCCACTTCCAATCCACTCCAGTCCTTTCCCTGCAGGCTGTCTGATCCAAGCTGTGAAGTAGCTGCTAACAGAATAAGAGACCTGACAGGTGATGGTCAGACGTTGACCTGGCTGCACAGTCACAGAGGCTGGCTGTGTCAACTGTTCACACTTCACACCTGTTAAAAAAAGAAAATGTTTAGTAACAAATGATCAAGTTATACTGCAAAAAAAGAACTGCTGACTTTGACAAATCCAGAGAGACTCACATCCAGCTGCCAACAGCAGCAGCAGAGCTACAGAAAACATGGTTTATGTTGAAAGTGACGTGCTGTGAACTCCACTGACAGCCTGATGGGAAGTTTTTATAGCTGAGTAACAAGGAAGGTCACTGAGTTTGCATAGAATCAAACACATGAAGCATCAATGTTGGTCTAACTGGAGCCAATAGAAGAGTCTGTTGACTGTTATTATATCTGCAGAGTGAAAACATGCCTGGAAATCACCTCTGCTTTGCATATGATTTCTTAATACTCACTCAACTATAACATTTTGAAAATGTTTACAGAAACAAAACAACTGTTAACTTTTAATGTCTAAATGTATTGTTTTGACATACATACCTTACTAATAATAATGTGAATACCACCTAGAAAGCAAAACTTCATTAAAATTGTAATAACAATGATGTGCAACCCTGGAAACAAAAGGAGCAACTACCATTAACATTTCTATAAGCCACGTCAATTAATTAAAAACGCACTTTAAATATGATGTAAGCTATTTTATCAGATCATTTATTTATGGTCAGCACATCCTACAACACATTCATGATTAATTTCAAATATCTGAGCACAGCTTTTTTGTAACTGCGGCATTCATTTATTCATTCATTTAGTTACTTACTTCTTGCAAACAGAAAAATAGTGACAGCAGCAGGATCAACAATGAAAACTTAAGTTTGCCGCTGGTTTGCATAAAATGCATTTAATGGTTTCAGTGTTTACAGACTCTAGTGGAGCAGCTCCTTCAGGCTTCCTGCTGTTCATCTTGAGATCTACTTCATGTCTGCTGAGATGAACTGACACGGACAGATGGAGCTGCAGTTACTGATGATGGTAAACACCTTATAGTCAAATTTTAATATTCAAAATGTTCTGAACCAAGTTAACACATGACTTTTCTTTAGAAAAGTTTCAGCTATCACAGTCTCCAGTGTACGTGAGCAGCAAGAGTGTTAAGCTTTAGTTCAGTTCAAGTGTCAGTCAGTTAAGATCAATGAGAACACCAGGGTCCTTTCTCCTGTGGCGGTTTTGGGCTGGGGCCAACAGGGGCCTGTGCCCCTGTAACATAGACTGTTGATGCTCCATCCACTCCCTTCATCCAAATCCACACCAATAAATCCACAGGATCACTCCTAACAATGTATCCGTTTACTCTGTTAGCAACAAAACATCAGCACAGGAAAATTACAAAAAATAAATATTTAATAAATATTTCCTTCAGTTCCCCCATAAATGAATCATGTAAATTACTGTTTAACACATAAATTAAATTATTTATCAGATAAATGCATTTAGGCTCCTACACAGACCTTGCATCCATTTACTCAGTTAGAAACAAAACATCAGCACAGGAACATTACAGAAATGAAAATGATTAATTAATGACAAAAAGGGGGAGAGGAAGAGAGAAAGAAAGGTCTCAACATAACAGCCATGTTTTCATCTGCTCAGTCTCTCATCCACTGTAGCTGTGTTTTGGTTTTACACGGGCACAGGCTAGTTCAGCTAACATACTGTTACAAACAAGCTGAAGTGAAAGCTGTCTGTCTTTAGTAACTGTTCAGTTCAGTTTGCCACGTAGCCTACATTAAAATATGGCACATTATACTCAGCTGGTGGCTGCGACAGACCAGCCCCCCTCTCTACCAGCAGCAGCGGAGGGAGGAGGAGAGGAGGGACTGAGTTGTTCATTCTTTCCAAACTTCCCTCAGTATGTTGATCAGGAATATGATTTATTTTACTAACATGTTAGATTTGTTTCCTGTGAGATATTAGTGATTTTAGTTTGCTGTTGTAAATCCTGTTACTGCTCTAGAAACAACATTTAGTTAATAAAAATAGTAAAATTATTTTTTTAATATTATATGCAAATATTTAGTAATAAATAGGACTGATGAGAGCATTGATAAAGAACTGAACAATGAAGGATTACCAATACAAGTGTGTCAATAAAATCCTAATGATCTCAACTCATGAGAAAATGTCCGGCCCATCTCTGTGTTCTGGTTTTAAAATCCGTCCCAATTGAATCTGTAATTGAAAAGCCCTGGTCTCCAGTGATCATAGTAATATATCTTCCTTGCGACAAAATGTACATTAAACTGAAACAGCACTTTTTATACAAAATAATATAATAATAATAATGTAATATTATAATGCACAGATGATGGCCTACTATCAAGTATTTTCTTTTGGGTATATTTCACATCAGGACTAATAACAGGGGTGAATATGGAGAAGTTTGTTGTTTCCTATCAAAAGTTAAAGTGGGATACAAAATACAAACTAGGATCTAGAGAATGTCTCGTACAGAGTTTATACTGTTCTATAAGCCTTACAAAGAACTGTTGCATCAAAGAATGTACTGTAACTTGAGCTAAACTTAACAGGAATGTTTTTTTGAATAATGTAATTTAATAAAACTATAACAAAGTTACTGAAAAGATCCTGTTACTGAAACAAATAACTCTAAGTTACTGAAACATAATAAAACATTACATTACATAAATTATATACTATATATATATATATATATATATATATATATATAAACAAGACATTTTGAAAGCTTGAACATTGCCTTTGTCTCTTTTGTCCCAGATTGAATGTGCCCCTCTGACAAAACAACTGACCCCAGCCTGGCCCCATCAATAAAACTGGTCTAGAACCGCCACTGCCTTTCTCATTTTCCAAATTTGTGCACCCCCACCTCCTCGATCCTTGATCCTCGAGCCTGTGACTCGGGTCGGAAATCAATCTCAGTGCCATCTTGAAGAAAATCTCAATCCCTAAAATGCACATCGAGGAGCGAGGCGGCTTGCTGGAGGAGCTATAAGAGAAGATAGACCAGCGTATCCTTTGCAGAAGTGTTTTCAACTATGTGGATGGGCAGCAAGATCGTAAAAAATTAACACTGAATAGAGGATAGCTGGGTGAAGCGCCTCTCCAGAGATGCTGTGCGCCCACAGCAACATAAATTAATAATTAAAAAAAGTTATATTCAGTAGTGATCTGCTGTATTTCATGTCATAATAGTGCCCATGTAGTCTGCATGTCATTCCAACAGTTTTAGAGTCCTGTTGCCAGTTTGAATTGGGGCTATATGAGATCAATGTTACTGTGTCATTTCGTAAAGGGACTGATGATGAAACTCTCACCTCATAAAGTTGAGGGCTGAAATGATCTCCTGTTTACAGACGAAAGGCGCACCACCAAGAAAAAAGTTACTGTATTTCTGTGTAGTGAATGATTAGGCTACTGTAATCTGACTGTTTTCAACAGATGCTTTAATGTTTAGAAAATGTGATTAAACTATTATCAACTCATGATTTACTTAATGGCTTCAGTTCCTATGACTTGAACAACATGAATTATTATATCACAGGGAAATGTCTGCTGATTTATCTGTCAGACTAATGAGTATGAAACTACTCTTTTATGTCACAGTTAAGAAGAGTAAACAAAACACTAGGCAATTTGAGCAGTTAAGTGAGTGTACAGCTGAAACACTGTTTGAATCATTTATTCTCTCAATCCACAGTCTCTGCAGGACTTTATGCATTTTACAATTTTAACTCCATTCCAAACTCCTGCAAATAAAAAGTAAAAAGACTTGTAAATCACAAGTTAGACACTTAGTAAAACCATAGAACTACACAGATTCAATTTAGTGTTCAGCCACTGTCTTCTCTGAGGAGTCTTTTTAATGTTATGGATTAAGCACAATACGGCTTAGTAATATACATGTCAACATTCATATCCCTGTTAAGAAATATTTTCCTAATCAAACATTAGTTGTCACATTTTGTTCAGTTTAACTTGTATCATTTTACATGAATGACATTATTCATGTGACTTGATTGTGCTAAAGATGAGTCCTGTCGGTTTTTGTACAGCTGTTTAACCAACTCCAGTCCCTGTGAGTCTCGAGCACAATAATAAACAGCAGAATCTTCAGTCTTCAGACTGTTCATCTGCAGATACACCTGCTGTCTGCTGTTGTCTCTGGAGATGGTAAACCGGCCTTGAACTGACTGAGAGTAGTAGATGTAGCTACTACCATCACGATATATCCAGGCAATCCACTCCAGTCCTTTTCCAGGAGCCTGCCTGACCCAGCCCATGCTGTAGCTGCTGAATGTGAATCCAGAGGCTGTACAGGTCAATCTGTGGGATTCTCCAGGCCTTTTAACCACTGGTTCAGATTCTGTCAGAGTCTGACCATCAACACCTGTTAATACAGCAAAGAAAACCATCACATGCAACAAACTGACACATTACAAGAAAACATTAAATAAAAATCAGTGAGAATCTTCACCTGCCCAGCAGACAGTTAAAAGCAGCAGTCCTGTCCTATAGTCCATCATGTTAAACTGTGTGTCCACTGTTCTCTGTCATCCTCTCTGCAGTCAGATAAGTAGAGGTGGAAGACATCTGAGTTTTGCATTGACTCCTCCTCACAGGGAGAAACTGGATTTGACTTGGATCTCAGTTACTGTTTGGTGAAACCGGAGAATCAATGTTTACTGTACATGAGTGATTCCTCCAAGAGTTTTATGTTTCAGTATTTATTTGTGCAATACATTGATCAACACATTCTTTAAGTTGTTTATTACGCACAGTTTCCAACATGTGAAGAGTTTGACAATAATTAATCAACAAATAACAGCTTAACAAATGTTGTTCATTATGTTATAATGTTGACTTTCTCACAAAGTGTTCATAAGTAAAATCCTTTTCAGGATATCAGAAGGAGATTTTGGAGATACAATGTTGACACAAAAAGACTAAAATCTTTCAGAAAAGGGGGATTCCAGGACTCTGAGAGAGACCATAGGTTAAAAGCAGACGGATACACCAAAATAAATATATCAGTGAATACCCCAGCAAGAATAAAAATAAGAAAACTTGTAACTATGTTAGGTAAAACAAACATTTTAAAAACTACAAAAAAACTACAAAGTTTGTCATCCTCCTTGCAGTTACATTAGTGAAGGTGGTTTTGCATTAACTCTAAATTTAAAACTTTGTTTAATACGAATTTAGTCATTTATCAAGTGATCCTCCAACAAACAACAATATTAAACATACTATTATCAGACAAAATCGTGACTTTGCAAAGAAGGTGACTAATTTCTTTTTACTCATCTTAATCTGACTGCAGGTCCACAAAGTGATTTCCATATTATAGTGTAGGAATTCTGACACACACGGTTCACTTGTAACAACAGGAAGAAAAATTATGTTATTGTTACTTTTTAGTAATGACAGTCAGACAGAGAAGATTTGTATTGGAAAGTTTTGCATTTACTCCTCCCCACAGGGAGGATACAGCTGGACTGAACGTGGTCATCACCTGTGTGAGTGATGTGTGTGGGACTCTCTGATCACTGTCTGGTTCATCTTGTCTCGACATACAAGCAGAAACAGAAATCTGCTAAACTGACTGGAGTGTTTTTCAGACTGCAGCCACTGACCTGGACGAACTAACTGACACTGTGACATCACAGCAAAACTCAGGCAGCTTCGTCAGACCAAAGAGGAGGCCTTCAGAAGTGGGGACAGAGTCCTGTACAACCAGGCCAGCAAAACACTGACTAAAGAGGTCAAAGCAGCAAAGAGGAGCTATGCTTAAAAGCCAGAAAACATCTTCACAGCCAACAAGCCGGCGTCAGTGTGGAAAGGCCTGCAGACACTCACTAACTACAGGAGACCATCCCCCACCACTGCTAGTACTCAACGACTGGCTGACGAACTGAACTGATTTTACTGTAGGTTTGAGAAGCCCACAGTCACACCTCTCCCCCGCTCCAACTCCAACGTCAAACAATCACCTTCCCTCACTGCCACGCTCTCACCCCCCCTCTCTGACCCATCACCTGCACTCATGATCTGTGAAGATGTGTGCCAGCTCTTCTAAAGGCAGAAGATCAGGAAGGCTCCAGGTCCAGGCGGTGTGTCACTATTCCGCCTGAAAATCTGTGCAGACCAGCTGGCCCCCATCTTCACACAGATCTTCAACAGATCACTGGAGCTGTGTGAATTTCCCTCCTGCTTCAAACGCTCCACAATCATCCCAGTCCCCAAAAAACCCTCTGTCTCTGGATTAAATGACTACAGGCCTCTCGCCCTGACATCTGTAGTCATGAAGTTGTTGGCCTGGTGTTGGTCCACCTGAAGGACATTATAGGCCCCCTGCTGGACCCCCTGCAGTTTGCCTATAGGGCTAACAGGTCAGTGGATGATGCTGTCAACTTGGGACTGCATTACATCCTGCAACACCTCGACTCTCCAGGGACATATGCAAGGATCCTGTTTGTGGACTTCAGCTCAGTGTTCAACACCATCATCCTGGACATCCTCAGCACCAAACTCACCCAGCTCACTGTGCCAGCCTCCACCTGTCAGTGGATCACAAACTTCCTGACTGACAGGAGTCCGCAGGTGGGACAGAACATAGTCAATTTATTTCAAATTCTTGCATACTTGTGTGTACATTTAGCTAAGTCAGTAATGTGTGGGACTCCTGATAGGAAGGTTGCATGATTGATCCCAACATACCACGAATATTTTGTTTCTCACTTGTTAAACAAATTGATTATAAGGACACTTTTACACATGCTCACAAGAAACTTACTGCAGTGTGTGTACGCATCTCGGCGTTTGATACACATTTATAAACCTTTTAATTTCCCTGAGGAATTTAAGGGGAATCCAATCTCACGTTTACTGATGGCTTTTTCAGAGCTGTGTCAAGCAATCCAGAGACTCTTCTGAATGTCCTTCAGAACTTTTCAAAGTAAAAGCTCTCAATAAACTTGATATGAAGCATTGCTGCAAAAAACATTCTTGCACTTTTATTTTGGAGGCACAATCACTTAAAATTAAGTGATTATGTGAGTAACTGTAGCTGTCATGAGAGCACAACACTGACACCATCATCAAGAAGGCCCAGCAGAGGATGTACTTCCTGCGCCAGCTCAGGAAGCTCAACTTACCTAAGGAGCTGCTTGATCCACTTTTACACAGCCATCATTCAGTCTGTTCTCTGCACGTCCATCACTGGTTGGTTTGGATCTGCCACCGAAAAGGACAGGAGCAGACTACAACAGACAGTCAGGACTGCAGAAAAAATCATCTGTGCCAACATGCCCTTCATTCAGGACTTGCATATTTCCAGAGTCAGGAAACAGTCAGGAAACATCACTGCAGGTCCATCTCACCCTGGACATGTTCCAGCTTCTCTTCTTCTCTGCTCAATCTGTCTATATTGTTTTTGTTTTATCGTGTGTTTATATGTGTTCTATATACTGTAGCATGTGTCTACTGGTATTTTTTTATTATTATGTATTCAGGTTCCCAGGTTCTGGGTGCACTGCCTGGTTGCATGTTGTGGATTTTGTGTGTGTTTTGTGTTGTGTACTTTTTTGTTTGTATGTTTGTTTGTTTGTTTTTGCAAACAAGTTGCTCTAAACTAATTGCCCTTTGCAGGATTAATAAAGTTTTTTGAACTTGAACTTGAACCCTGAATATGTGCAGGTCAGTCTGTGGCACTTTGCAGGTCTTTTAACAATGGTTCTCTGTAGGTAGTAGTAGTTTTTGTCCCTCAGAACCTATTAACCATTTCATGTTGACTGAAACCATAGAAAAAAAGACAAAGACAAACCTAAAACATCAGCTGTTGCTTTCATATGTGTGTGTTTTTAGAGTCACTGTCATTCTCTCCTTAGCTAGCGTCATCTGACTTCATATCTTCTACTGCCACCTGTAGGTCTTTGTAAACAAAGGAGTTTTTGTAAAGCCTCTCTGCTTCCTTTAACCAGTGTGTGTCTTTGGCACAGTAATAAACAGCAGAGTCCTCTGGCTTTAAGATACACCATGCTGTTGCTATCATCTCTACTGACTTCTATTCGTCCTTACACACTGCTGGCATAAGTGTTACTACTAGCATCGGAGTAGCCGATCCCTATCCATTCCAGTGCTTTTCCTGCAGGTTGTCTTATCCAGCTCATAGCACAACAGCTAAATGTGAAGCCAGATCCTTTGCAGGAGAGACTGAGAGTCTCCCCAGGCCTTTTCACTACTGAACTGGAAGGAATGGACTCCATACTCTGACCTGTACAACCTGATGAGATGAAAGGAGAGAGGAACCACAGAAGAAAGTGAGACAGTCATCTGGGAAGTTTTCTGGGATCACTGACTGACCATCGGTCGATGTTGTCTGATAAAAGATAAAACAGCAGGAAGCAGGAGAACTCACAGGGCAGAGAGAGAGCAACCAGCAGAAGAGTGAGTGTGTTGATCATCCTGAGGCTGGAGATGTGACCTCTGATGCTCCACACAAAGTACAAGAGCAGTCAGCAGGACAGAAGCACACTGCACAGACTCAAGATTTGCATCAGGATATCACGGGGTCTCATGTACAGGCACTCTGTTAGAGTTTAATTTTAACTGATGTTGGACACAATATCACATCAGAAAGCAGACATTTTGAAACAGCAGACTTTCTTATTTTTATTTTTATATTATATGACAAGTGAATGAATCATACAAATGAAATTATATGGTCTACCTCACAGACAGTGTATTAATTGACTCCTCCTCTCTGCAATATATTTCAGAAACACTCTTCAGGACTTTGTATAATGCATTATTCACAAAAATATGTAACGTGAAATATAAACAATAGTATATAGAACTAATCATATAATATGAATGTTAAGAAACGTCATGCTTGCATGCATGCACGCATGCACGTCTCTATCAGCCTGAAATATGAGTACTGTAGGTTTTTGAACAGCTGTTCAACCAACTCCAGTCACTGTGAGTGTCGAGCACAATAATAAACAGCAGAGTCTTCAGTCTTCAGACTGTTCATCTGCAGATACACCTGCTGTCTGCTGTTGTCTCTGGAGATGGTAAACCGGCCTTGAACTGACTGAGAGTAGTATTTGCTGCTACCACCGCTACTGATATAAGCAATCCACTCCAGTCCTTTTCCAGGAGCCTGTCTGATCCAATGCATGCTGTAGTCACTGAATGTGAATCCAGAGGTTGTACAGGTCAATCTGTGGGATTCTCCAGGCCTTTTAACAGCTGGTTCAGATTCTGTCAGAGTCTGACCATCAACACCTAGGATAAAAGGAGATTAAAAAATCATCAAGTGAACTAAGCTGATGACACTAATAAAGTTTTAATCAAAGTCAGTAACATCTTCACCTGCCCAGCAGACAGTTAAAAGCAGCAGTCCTGTCCTATAGTCCATCATGTTAAACTGTGTGTCCACTGTTCTCTGTCATCCTCTCTGCAGTCAGATAAGTAGAGGTGGAAGACATCTGAGTTTTGCATTGACTCCTCCTCACAGGGAGAAACTGGATTTGATTTGAATCTCAGCTACTATTTGTTGAAGGTTTTCTGTCATGTCGTGGAGTCATTACTCCAAAAGTCCCTTTTTCATGTCTCAATATAATTTGTGCAATAGATAGAAAATCACAGTACTTAAGCTGGTTGCCTCATTATAAAGACTTTGGCAGGTTTTCAGTTTTCACCTTATGCAATTTGCACACTTAGCCATGCAGGTGCTATTGTACTAAAATTAAGTATATGTCTGTATATGTCAAAATGTGTGGAATCAAGTTAACACAAAGACTTTTGTTAGAAAAATATCAACTATCACAGTATCCATTGTACATGTTAATCTTTAGTTCAGTCCAGAGTTCAAGTGTCAGTTAAGATCAATGAGAACAACAGATCTGAGTGTCTCCTTTTAGAAAGTTGACACTGACTGCCCTCTAGTGATTTTCTGAAAGAAACTGCAACATTTTTTGTCACTCTCATATTATGACTCACTTTAGATTCCACATAATTTACAGACAATAATGTATCTACATTTGTATAGATGTATGCAAATGTTTGGTTTTTGCAGTAGATTCATTTCAGCAATCATAGTGTTGTGTTGTCTTTGGCCTTTTATGAACAAGGGGTGGTGATGGAGTAGTGGAAGATACATGCCTTTGGTGTAAGTGACCTAGGTTCAATTCCCCACAGTGATACATCCACCAATGTGACAAGACACTTAACCCCTAGTTGCTCCATAGGGAAATGAATAAATATAATGTCAGCGATCTTTGTTAAAAAAGCAAGCACCACTTGGAACCTTCAACCCCCTATTTTAAAGTGGTACTTTCCTTCCCCCTCTTAGTGGTGTTTCCACCAAAAGTAGCGGGGACTTAAGTCCCCTGGATCTCTTTTCAAGGAACTAAAAGGTTCCTTAAGCCATTTGTTGTGTGCGTTTCCACTGTGGTCTAAAGATTAGGCAAAACCAGCTGACAAGCTGTAGGCCTGTACGCCGTACAAAGCAATGCACACACATCATTATTTGTAACCACTATCCATGAGCAAAATTTATAAATGAACTTCAGATTGGATTGGAATATAACTATAGGCTTTGCTTAATCAGCCAGCAGCTTTTTTGTGTGGGAGTATAATGAAGAGACACACGATAAAGTTTAATAACAAACTGGATAAAGCCATCAAGTCATTAAAATAACTTCAGCACAGAGAAAGCAACACAAAAATAAAATTGCGACAGTTTGAAAGGTTATTAAAATATTTCCAGCTGACAGGAGCTGCAGATCAACTGCAGCACTCATGTCTTTGTCTGCCTGAGCTCGGAGGAACGTCATTTTTAACAAGATTTATTACCTTCTGTAATCAGCTGTTCCGTTTGTTTTGGAGAGGAGGAAACTTCCTGACTGATGAAAACTTAAAACAACAACTGTATTTAGCATAGCTCCATCAGCTGTTCGCTGTAAACACACCGCTGCAGGCAGGCATCTATTTCTGAGCAATACATTTAATGCCAACATTCAATCTCATGCAGACATCGGCGAGACTTGTGTTGCTATCTGACAAAACAGAGAAGGAAAACAGAGGAGCAGTCCTGACCTGACATGCTCAATTTAAAACCAGATTCAGATTATCGTTTGATGAAACTTGAGAATCAGTGTTCAGGAGTCATTCTTCCAAGTCAGATAGTTCAAAGTTTTTCTGACATGTTTTAATTTTATTTGCATAAAATGTCCATAAAGCATTGAGTATTGGCACCACAACCACATTTTGCACACTTCAAAATTGTATTCTTAATTCAGAAATCTGATACATTTACAATCAAATTAGTTCAAATATCATTTTGCCTGATTACACTCTGTGAGCATATTGGGCAGCAGATGAGCTAAATAATCTACAGTACTCCACTGATCACCAATATCCACTAACATTTTTGAAAATCGCTATTTGTCATCTTCATCTCGTTATACAACCCTGTGTTGATTATTAAATCTACCATCATGTTACATCAACCAATGTTTTGAACATATTGTTTCAACGTGGAAAATTCTCCTTTCTAATTATCTTCTGACCTGGCCAAGTTTGCTCTTTGAACTGATTTCATATCATTTTTGTTTTTTTCTTGTAAATGTAAGATAGTTAATTTAGTAGTAAAAATGATTTAACATTTGAAAGAACTATGTTACTTTGAGCTTTCCCTGGCCTCTGTCGTATTCAGTGAATATAGTAGCTTGTCATGCTATAACCAGATATGATACATGACATCGTTACCGTCTCTTTAGGTCTTTTCAAAGTATTGTAAAATTTGCTTTGTCATATGTTTTTTTTCTACCCTATCTTTTATCAAATTAATAAAACGTGTCATATGCATCTTGTAGCCTCTATTTCTTTTATACTGATGTCGGCTTCAGTAGAGGTCAAATACGATCCACATAGATAGATTAAAAACAGAATTTCTTCTCTTCCTCTGCCTCTAACATTCAGTGAATTCCAAAAACATTTATTTTTGTCAACTCTGTCTGTCGTCATTAATGTTCACATTTTGAACGTCTGTGTTGGGTCTTGTTGGTTGCTGAGTATTTGTGCAGGTCTGTTGGTGGTTTATCTCACTGTGGAGCCACGTACACAATAATACACAGCTGTGTCCTCAGGCTGCAGATTCTGTCCTGTTAATGTCACAGATCTAGTTTGTGTGTGTGTGCGTGTGTGTGTGTGTGTGTGCGTGTGTGTGTGTGTGTGTGTGTGTGTGTGTGTGTGTGTGGTAAATTAAGTTGCATTATTTTGGTAAAAGTCACCCCCCGATACAAAATCCAGTCCACTGGTTTTCCTTCATATTGTCTTATCCAACCTGTTGCAGAGCTGTCACAAATCTGTTTAAATATCACATACAAAATACAATTTAAGACAGTGAGTAAGGTGATCTTGCTGAAACAGTGATTGAAACTTGATTCATCCTCTCAACACAAAGCCTCCACTGTACAGATTTTTTTCCCATTATTGAAACAAAATGTTCACAGATTATGTAAACAAAACATTCATCTAAACCAAAAGAAAATAGATGCTTTCAGTCTCTGCAGGTTGGACTTCAGACCCTAAGAAGCTCTGATTTCACTCTAATGTGAACTAAGCTCTATAATGTAGACTGAGCAAAGCTCATCATCCGTCTTCAGACTTGTGAATGTGGGTTAGATATTTAACAAAACCATTCAACATTGCAGTTGTTGTTTGTAGTTCTGTGTTTACTATCTATTTTTAACTTCATAACTTATGTATTAAGTAACTTACCCAGCTAACCTAATTATTTTAACCCAAACCACGATCTTTTCCTAGACCCAACCAGGTAGTTATGTTGCCTAAACCTAACCAAACTGCCATAGTTTCAGAGCGTTTACCACCAGTATTATCGTGATAGTCTAACCAGATGTTGCATAGTTTTATTTGACTGCAGAGCCCTGCGGAGTCTTGACCGAGCGTCCATATGTAAAGGGTTGGGAGTGACAATGTGTTGTATTTTTCACTCTCATATTATGACCCACTTTAGATTCCACATCATTTCCCTTTCCCATAGTCTTTTGCTTTCTCATCCCTCTCCTCTCTACTCCTATCACTTTCTGCAGGTGTTTCTGGAGCTGTGAAGTCTGGATCTGTGGTTATGAGTCGCCTTATTATTGTTATTATTATTATTATTATTATTATTACTAGTAGTAGTAATAGTATTATTTACAATGCTATAAATATCAGTACTGTTGAAGCCAATTTCTTGTGTTCAATTATTTTAGCATTTAAATGATTTATTTTGAGAATAGTCATTTGGATTTATTAATTGTTTATGTATTTAGCTGTCCTGATTAATTAACTCAGATGGCAGTCAGCTGTGGAAGGAGGAAGAGGTGTGTCTGGAGAGTTTGTTTTTTAACAAATAATCAAAGGAAATGAGCGACTCGGGCATATATTTTTGGTCACTTACACATGCGAGTCAGACGTAGAGCCCTGTAACCTGGCACAGCGGTCTAAATTGTAAATGGACAAAACAAGTACAATTTTCAGTCTGTACTTGTTGTCAAGTGCTTGCTCAGGGTGGGTATTGTTGGGTCTCTGTAAATAATATCACAGAGTACGGCCCAGACCTTCTGTATATGAAAAGTGCAATGTGATTACTTTTGTTGTGAACTGGCACATTATATAAATAAAACTGAATTGAATCATTTACAGACATTATTGTGTCTTAATTTATAGAAACGTTTGTACTAGTTTTGTAGTAGTTTAATCTCAGTAACAAGATTGTTGTTCTGTTCTGCAGCTTATCAGCCCTGCCCAGGGAACTTTGAGCTTGGTGTCCCCCAGCCTGCCCGCTCTCTGCCTCAAACTCACGCCACCCACCTTTGCAATTCCTGAACCTGTTAATAAACTGTCATTGTGGAAACTAACCTGCCTTGAATCCGCTTTTGGATCCTCGCAACTGCACCTTTATTATTTAAACCAATATATGAATATATATAATATAGATTATAAAACAATATGTACAAATTTAAAAAGAGAATAAAGTAATTTATCTTAATGTAATAAATACTTACAGCCCTAAGATGAGGTGGTGTTGTTGCATGTGTGAAAAGCTTTAGTCGACACACACTTTTCCTCACAAAAGCTGATATAAGATCAACATCAGAGCTACAGAGTCCTCTCACTGACACACACATAAATAGAGGAAGTAGTTTTTATATTGTCGGGCACAGTAATACACTGCTGTGTCCTCTTCAGATTGTTCATCTGTAGATAGACTTTACTGCTGGAGTCATCTCTGGAATCTATCCTGGACTGACTGGGAGTAACGGATAGGAGAACTAGATGTGCCTGTAGTAGAAACCCACTCCAATCCTTTTCCAGGATCCTGTCTGATCCAGGCCATCAAGTAGCTGTTGA